ATTCACATAAAGTAAAGCCATTTAAATTCTTCAACATGTGGTTAAAACACCACGATTTTTCTAACCTTTTAGCGCAGGTATGGAACCAAAGGGTAGAGGGCACGGCCCAATACTCGTTGGTTAAAAAATTAAAGATGTTGAAGGGCCCGTTAAAGAAGCTAAATGAAAAAGATTTTGGCCATATTTCTAGCAAGGCTAAAGTGGCGAAAGAGGAGTTCAAGAGAATCAATAAGCTAGTGCTCCAAAATCCATTTGATGAGGGACTTCAATGCCAATTGAAAGAAGCAAGGAAACGGGCCACCTTCCTTAGCGAAGCGGAAACAAGTTTCTATCAACAAAAGGCGAAAGCGACTCACATCTTGGAGGCCGACAAGGGCACTAGGTATTTTCACGCCATTGTGAAGAGAAACGCATCAAGAAATGCAATCTCTTCTATCTCCTTGGAAGATGGCTCACTCACTACGTCTCTAGACCAAGTGGGAAATGAGTTTGTAAAGTTTTTTATTGATTTATTTGGTACACAGGTTGATTGTTTCGGCCTTGACCCCATGGTCTTGGCCTCGGGCCCCCTCATTGAACCTAGTGTTCATGAAAGCCTTGTTGCTCCAATTCAATCAATAGAGATTAAAAACGCTCTATTTGATATTGGCAATGACAAGGCTCCGGGCCCGGATGGATTTTCTTCGGCTTTTTTCAAAGCAAATTGGGAGACGGTGGGGAATGACATAGTCCATGCTATTAAGGAATTTTTTCGTACGGGCAAGTTGCTCAAACAAATTAACCACACGGTTATCGCACTTATCCCAAAAACGAACCATTCCCCAAAAGTTTCGGACTATAGACCCATTTCTTGTACGAATGTGTTGTGTAAAATTATCACAAAGATTATAGCGGCGAGACTCACACCGTGCCTTCCCGCCATGATTGATCAGGCCCAAGGGGCATTTGTTGATGGCCGCCTCGTGTTTGATAACATTTTCCTAGCCCAGGAACTTGTTAGAGGATACACAAGGAAGCAGATCTCACCGAGATGCATGGTCAAGGTGGATCTTCGTAAGGCCTATGACACTATTTCATGGGATTTTCTTGATAAGGTGCTCAAGGGCTTGGGCTTCCCTTTGAGATTTGTTGAATGGATTATGACATGCGTCACGTCTGCATCTTTTTCTGTTTCATTGAATGGGTCGCTATATGGATTCTTTGAGGGTAAAAGGGGCATTCGACAAGGAGATCCAATGTCTCCTTTATTGTTTGTCCTGTGCCTTGAGTACTTATCCCGATCACTCAACTTGAGAACAAATGGACCCAATTTTAATTTTCACCCTAAATGTGCACCATTGCGAATCTCCCACTTGGCCTATGCTGATGACCTTATGTTGTTCTCTAGGGGCGACAAGAGCTCTATTGAAATTCTCGTCAAATCCCTACAAGATTTTGGGGACGCATCGGGTCTTAGGGTGAATTATAATAAATCAAACATCTTCGTGGGGGGTGTGAATGAATTTGAACTCCAAAACATTTTGGACATTGTAGACTTTGGGCAAGGAAATTTCCCGGTCAAGTACCTTGGAATTCCCCTTGCCCCACTTAAAGTATCGGTGGCCCAATATGCCCCTCTAATTGATACGATCTTAGAATTCTTAAATGCTTGGAATACGAAAACCATTTCTTATGCCGGGAAACTCGAGCTAATAAGATCAGTGATCCAAGGGGTCCAATCATTTTGGCTACAAGTTTTTCCGGTACCTCGAGCTATTCTAGATAGAATTGTATCCATTTGTCGTATATTTTTATGGGGAGGGAAATTTGCGAAAGTGGCATGGGACGACATTTGCCTCCCAAAAGAGGAGGGGGGTCTTGGTATACATAATGCAAAAATTTGGAATCAAGCCCCCCTTTCTCGTACACTATGGGATGTCCACCTAAAAAAGGACACCTTGTGGGTGAAGTGGGTAAATGGCATCTACCTTAAGGGTAAGTGTGTGTGGGAATTCGTCCCACACAACCGGGATTCGATGTTTATGAAGAATTTGGCGACCATACGTGATAATATCATGAGATGTTTTAATAATAAAAATGACACCATCTTGGGATTAGCCTCTCGATCAATTAACGGGAAACTAATCTCAAGCAAAGTGTATGAGCTTCTAAGAATTAAAGGAACGGTTAGGGCATGGATGAGTTTCATCTGGAAATCTTACATCCCCCCGAAACTCTCGTTTAACGTTTGGTTGGCTTTAAGGAACCGGCTTCCTACCCAGGATAGCCTCGGTTATCTACACTTGGTGAATAGGTGTGACTTGTGCAAGGGTGGTTTGGAGACAATACCACACCTTTTCTTCCTTTGCCCCTTTACTTGTAGGGTATGGCAGCATATTAGGAATTGGATGGGACTCGGACATGATATGACAACACTGTTGAGCGCCATCAAGTGGATCATGAAGACGCGCAAGGGATCAACGCTGAAGGCAAAGGCTGCCCGTTTAGTGTTCTGTGCCACGGTCTACTACATTTGGCATGCAAGGAATGAGTTACGTTTTGATGGAGGATCGAAGACGGAAGAAGATATCATTGCTAAGATCAAGCATGTGGTGTATAAGGTCCTATATAGCCTATACCCGCATGACTTGATCAATTTCTGAGGGATGGCTGCTGGAGCCACGACATAACCGTTTTGGGACAAGTGTGTGCGCGTCGGGCAACACCTTGGATTTCTGTTTGGGCTAAGGGGAGTGTATACTATAACCTCCTTTTGACTGGGTTCCCTTTCATTTTTTTGTGACCTGTGTGCGTGCACGCTTGCAGCACCGAGTTATTTTTTTGTGGTCTTGGGCATTTAGTATTGTATACTTAGGCCCCTTTTGATTTCTATTTAGATCGAACAAAAACCTCTCCTAACCCTTGACACGGGTGGGGGGTTTTGGGAGATCTAGAACCTTCTTGATGTATAGGTTTCTTGGGTGTTAATATATATTTACATTTCATCCAAAAAAAGAGAGTAAGTATTATGTATGTGACAAGTTACATTTCGACAGGACTTAAGTTACATTTATCAATAACGTGAGTTACGTTTCTTTACACTGTTATATCATTCATGCAACTGGGACAAAAAGAAAATAATAGTTAATGTGCACATGTGTACTGTTCAAGCGATTCTTTTTTAAAATTGTGCAAAGATAGATACATCGTTTTAGGAGTGGAGGTGTGGATCATGGTGCTCATAGTTTTGAGAGCTAGGGGAACAAGACTAATGGCAATGACTGTCCTGGCCTACCTCTCACGTACTTACCCTTTTGACGGATTGACTTGAAAAAATTAATGTATACTAGCTACTCACATACACACCATTTTAAAAGCATTCAACTACTTCATATTTGTTATTGTACTGAAAAAACTACGTATATGAGTATATCATGAAACACCAGGTCCGTCCGTTTGGTTATTAGCCTTACATAATGTATACTACCTTTGTCTCAGAAAAACTTCCAATTTTTCTTTTTCGTCCATCCCAATAAAACTTCTACTTTCCCTTTTTGATAAATAATTTATGGTTCATAGCATTTCTTAGACGTACATTTATCTCTTCTCTGTACAACTTTTCATCATACATTACTCACTATCTTGACCCCGTGTCATTTGTACTATGGAAGTAAAATTAGGGACGAAGGGAGTAGCTAAAATGACATTGTATTGTATCTTCAGCCAATAATTATTATTCAGTATGAAAAGTAACTTTAGTCTTACACATTTTAAAAGTTGTTTGATAAGATTGAGAAATTGAGAATTAAATCAAATCACCAAAGGGAAAGTTTTTGAAATAGGAGTAAACATGTTTTGCAATTCTAAAATAGGACTGTTATATTTTTCTTCTCGAGTAACATGACAATATCTAATGTCATCATGGAGTACTAGACATTAATATGACAATCTTTGCTCTAATCAGTGGGAGTATTTTGAATCATGTAGTAACAACTCCTATTTCGTGAAGAAAAACAAAACAGTCATATTTTGAAATTTCAAAACGTTTTTACTTCTATTTATGACAACTTCCCCACCACCAAATGGACTCCTAGGGGTTGTTTACTTTTTTCTTATTATGTCCTGTCTCAATTAAGATGTTTATTAATTGGGATTAAGACATCTATCTGGATTAAGTGTTACTTGTATATGAAGTTGTTTACTTTCTTGCTGAATAGTAGTCTGTAATAAGTAAAATAACCAATTTAATATTATTCTTGAGTTATAATACCAATAAGATATTCCATTTATTAATAGAAATCAATATATTAACAGAAAAGACGTCTTAATGCGAAGGATTACCTACTAACTTAATAGTTAAGTTATTTTTTTAACTGAATTATTAAGTAATGTTTTCAATTAAGTCGTAAGTAAATACTCCATCCGTCCCGAAAAGGTTGGCCAAAATTGACTTTCACGTGAATTAATAAAGTAAAAATTGTGTGGTTGAAATTTGTGCAGAGGAGAGATAATTAATTTTAGTCACATATTTCTTACTTTAAATGTAAATGACAAATCTTTTTGGGACATCCAAAAAAGAAAATTTGGCTAACCTTTTCGGGACGGAGGGAGTATGACTTAATAGATGAAGATTAAATGAAAGTAAACAACCTCTTAATCTCTACGAAAAAACTCTCATTCTTTTAAACAAAAAAACTCCCATCATTAAAAATCCAAATCACTATTATCTTCACTTTAATTTCGTTGAACATCTTTTTGTTCGGTCAAACTGTGATCTTGTTTCTCGAATCTCGCCTGTATTTGATACGGAGTACTACATAGTAGAAACCGGCACCATTATTAATTTACAACGTTGTCACAGCTTCTTCTTTGCCTGTGATTTAATTATTTATTTCCTCTGTTAAAGCGCGGTTTCCGGTTGGTGAGAAGGAGATGTCAAAGCATACACAGTGGGTCCCATGGGCGGCCCACTTTGCAGGCCTATATATATAGCAATTATGTGTATATATATAAGCTGGAACTAACTAACTGCTTGAAGTCTCAAGCAGTCAAACACATCCTTAACTAATTCCTCAACTACACGAACGTACGGTAGCTGTCGACCGGCCATGCCTTCTAATAATACCTTCTTCCCATCATCGGATTCTCACCGCCGGGGAAGCAGCCGGAAAACCAGCTTCCGGAAACGGTGTCTCTCCATGACGAAGCAGTACAAGACCAGGTTGTACATTCTTAGACGCTGCGTCATCATGCTCCTCTGTTGGAAAAACTATTCCCTCGCCGATTGAATGATCCATTGATATATACATATGTGCATGTCTATATATGTGTATCAGTGTATACATATTGAGGAACGGTCCAGTTGAGTTGGTCGCCGACTCAATCTCATACAGGAGGTCTCGAGTTTGAAACTTTCTAGAGAAAGTTGCGGTCTTATTAACTTCAGGCTCCTTCAGCCCCGGCCCAAAATGTGTATACATATATATAGTAATATTAGTGGTGAATGTGATTCAATTCAAAAACTGTGAATATACTATATATATTGCACTAGCTCATGGATAATTAAAGTGATGATATTCTGGAGGGAAAGGTGATCAATAAATACAGTGTAATAATATGATGTTGGTTTTATAAGTGCTTTTTTTGTAAAAGATAAAGGTAGAATATGAGGTTGACTTCTTCTTTGCACATGTGAGTCGTCGATCACTTTTCAAAGGAAAGAATGGGCATGTGGAAGAAAAGATATTTCTAACATACTTTTTCCTTTTGGTTTTATTTAAATCACAGCACATTGGCGCCAAAATTGATACCGTTTTTAATGGATTAAATTTAGTTTGACGTGATCTGATTTAATAAGATTTGATGTATATGAATTCACTTCTAATTAAATCTAACTACGTATTGAATATAGTTTAATTTGAGAAGGAATCCAACTAAAAGTATCCTTAATTCTTCTTCTGTTCTAATATTATTTTCATACTTTTCTTTTTCATCTATTCCAATATAAACTCATCTTTTCCTTTCGATAAAAAATATGTAATTCACTACATATGTCTCGACTTTCCCTTTTATCTGCACAATTTTAGACTATACATTTTCCACTTTCTTAATTTATGTGCCAAGTCAAAACAAGAGTTAATATTGGGATATAGTCATATAGGAAGTAACATATGAAGGGTCAAACGAACAATTCAATCATTATATACATTTTTTGAAAATCGACACTTTTGATGAATCAAGAATTTGAAATATACAAAGTATATAATAGGTAGCTGTTAAGTCTTAATTAAAATGTGCCAAGGAACCATCAATCCTTTGTTATTAAATGATTGGAGAGCACAATCAACGATTAGAAGAAAGAAAACAAACAAAGGAGATCAGGTGAGACAAAAGCTTGAGGTGTATGGAGCGCCAAGTCAAATTTCTATTGTTCACATTTTTGTGTGTGCGTGTGTTGGTTTTTGGAACCATCAATACAAGATATCTCCAAAGCTAGTCATGCGCAAAATATCTCCATGATATATAAATCTAATTGTCAAATGAAAGAATTATAAATACTTTTTACCCCCTAAATTTTGACTATTCTCATTGCTTGCCCCTCACCTACTACCCCCCAAAATATTATCTACTTTTAAAAGTAAAAATAATTTGATCATTATCATAATTATAAATCATAATTTTTTATCATTGTTTTTCCTACTTAGATACTCGTGGAACAAATATGAGAACAATTAAGGAGAAGACTTGTGAGTAATACTCATGAGATACATAAACACGATTGTTTAAAATATGCAATCTTGTGACTTATAAAAGCATACTCCTTTCATCCCTTATAATTTTGTCAAAGTTGACTAACACGTAAAATAATAAAGTTAAAATTGTATGATTAAGATTTGTGCAGGGAAAGGATTAACAAGAACCATATATTCTTCACTTAAAAGAGAAAATGGAAAAATTAGTAAGAAAATCAATAAAGGAAAGTTGGCAACTTTTTAATGAACAGAGAGAGTATATTTTAGAAACCTTTCACAATAATTAACAATATATGAAGGTAAAAATGATTAATGTTGACTGCTGGGCTAAATAGTATGAACAACCAAAACTGGTGGTAGATAATTGATTCATAATATTGAGACACATGGTCTCTAAATTGTTAAATTTGATCACAGATGGATTTTTGTGCATTATAAATCATAATACAGGGGTTTGTGTATTTAATCATTAAAGAGTTTAGACAAGTTTTTTAAACACCTTTTTATGAATATACAATTAATTATGGAGTTTATATATGTATTAAATTTATCAGACTTGACAAAATTGTAATATTGTAATAACGTTTAGTTTTTGGAACAAATTTGTAATCTGGTACATTTTGTTCAAGAAATGTTATTTTATTTTCAAAATTTTTATTTACTCCGATTTTCAATGTTTTTTATGAACTTTTATTTATCAATGTTGGAGCTCTCTATCACTCATATTATAATCATGTGATTTAAGTCTTGTAATTAATATCAACATATTAATATTAATATAATTAATTATTTCATAACCTAGTATCCACTGATAGATATTATATTGGTTATACTATGTGGTATACATTTTCAATGTTTTAAACATACCCTGAACGAATGAAGGATATACTCCCTCCGGTCCTAAATAAAATTGACACTTTCCATTTTGGGTAGGTCCAAAATAAACTTCACACTTCTTCTCCCTTCCTTATTTGACAAATTATTTACATCAAAACAGTGCCACAACAGTGGACTCTACAGTAAAGTCAAATTTATTTCCTTAATTTGTGTGAAGTCAAAGTGTGAAGTTTATTTAGGACCAAATATTTAATTTGTCAAGGACATGTAGGTAGAAATGTAGAATCACTATCATTCCCGAACCAAATGGTTGCACCTAGATTTGTCCTAAAATCATACATAACAAATTCTCGCTTACAATCATCATTGATTCATCATAGTATCATACCCAATGGTTACAATTTTGTACATTATGAATATGCTCAATATACATGTAAATAGCTGTTGATTATAAGAGCAATACAAAGTACTGTTTATATATTTATAAAACAATACAAAGTACTGTTTATATATTTATTAATTTATTTATTTACCATAAAAACATTCATTACCATGACTCGATTCATGTTAGCCGACCTCAAAATCTTTTGGAAACAAGGCTTGGATGTTGTTTTAACATAAAACAACCATTGGAACTGTCTTACTGGTCTGAGCTTTTACTATTATTACTGCTTGAGGTGATAGTACTTGTCCAGCAGCTTCTCTGTATATTCTCCAAACGTCAGAGAGCCATTGGAGGAGGCAATCAGCTGCAATAAGAATGTATAATAATATAAAATATGTTTGCCAATATTTTTTTAAAATAAATAAATACAAAGAAAATAAGTTTTAATCTTGGGTCTCTGGTCTTTCCTGCATAGGAGAGATGGGAAATGAAGAGTTAAGATATGTAATATGTATTGCTAAAGAACATTGTGATATTAGTAAGTTAATTGATTATGAGATTAGAGGATCAATGTTCCACCCCTATAGATAAATTTCAAAAAGAAAAACTAATGGAAAAAATAAAAAACAAATCAAAAAACTGATGTAATGCTCTTTTATTTAGATGACCATTTCATCAATTCATCTGATAAAATAAAACTTACTTCATTCTATGTCGCTATTAGATGACCAAAAACATTAAATACTTCACTTTCAACTTTACTCAAGTATTGGTTTACGAACCTTCAGGGTGTAACTAATCACATGTTTCTAACTTTCTATCAAAGGGCAGAATGTAGACATGAAGTCATTTTGGCATATTAAATGATATTTTTGACCAACGTGCCTAAACCTTACAGTTGATGATAGAACAGAGTTGTATATGAATCTAATGCCAAATACTCACCTCCTTGTGAATATGTACACCATCTGGGAAGTTTAGGTTTTCATCCCTGAAGTTATTGAATTGTCACAACCAAACCATAACAAACCGTGAGAGGGGAGGTTTAGTGATGTAATATATGAAATTAGCCATGCCATGAATGCTTATCATTTCAAATAATCACATCACATAATTTGAACAATGCCTTTTAATGTTTTTCTTAGATATCCTAATTGAATCAAAAAGCTTCTATATATCCTTTAGATCATCCGTAGCTTTGATCCATAAAAAGATTGTTGCGCACATCAAGTATACCCATCACTGCAAATGAGTCTTTCTTGAATGGTGCTGTGACTAGAAGTACTTCGATTTTGCTTCTTTAATTTGAACTATTTGCTGTTTCTTTCCAAATTGAGCCAGTATGTAAAAAGAGAAACTGCTTTCACACTTAGAAGGTCATTTTTGTGCCTATTGAAAGAAGAACCGTTCTGTTTCTTTTATAAAAAAAAATCACCACCTGTAAACTGCTTAGATGATAAAGTATTTTCTCATTAAGCACTTAAAGTTAAACATCTTAAACGATCACATAAACTTCATGGAAAGTGTATGTGATTAACAGATCCTGATGATTAACAGCCAAAAACCAAGATCTTGAGGAAAGGCAACACAAAAATTGTAACAGTATGTAAGCAACCAGTTTAATGTTGGCAACATGTACCAGTCTGGCTGCATGAACAGTGCAAATGTTGAGCGATCAACACCAGATGCTTCCTCCCCTTTTGGTGCCTGTGGAGACATGCACATCCATTTCATATGCGGAATAAGTTGGCACGAACAGAACTAGATTCAACACAGTTGCATCCAAAGAAAATATTTCCACTTTTGGCCTCAGAACGTCTGGTGCTCAATTATGAATTTATTGCCACTTTTGGTCCTTCTGATTACTTATGAGACTAAAAAGTACACACAAATTGTACACGGCCGGGTAAGTGAATGGAAGGACTTAAAGTGACAAGCAATTCAGTCATGCAAAAGTAGAAAAAATGAAAGCCAGGAACCAAAAGTGGGATATGTTCGACCCAAAATACTAATACAATGTTAGACTATGTGATACTAGGGTTTCAAAGTTTAGCCGAGTGAGGGAGTGAGGGAGGAGAGGTTGCATGTAAGAATATCTGAATATGTGATTCCACAGCAATAAGCATGAGAGGCAGAGCAAAACTTCACTTCATCTTGCAATTTAGACACAAATCCTTTTCCCTGGTAAAGTTACTGAGACTGCTTTGTACAAAATGAATACTGCAAGTTAGCACCAAAGGGAACAGTGATAAATACCCGAACACAATGTGGTGTTGCACAGAGCAGACCTCTTGACAATATCTCAGTTGTCTCACCAATTTGGTATGCTATTTCTTCTTCACCATATTTCACCTAATAAAGTTTAAAAAATGAAGACGTGTAGATCTATCCATGTAAGAATTATAATATGTATAAATCAATTAAGGATTAGTCTAGTTCAGAACTAGAGTGCAAATGTTTTTTCCAAAATTAATTATGATTAATAGTTTCCCAAAGAATTGTGATATACATGTGGAATGACAATAAAAATCTGCTTATAGATACAACTCATGAAGCACATTTCATTTAATTTAAATTTTCCCATAAAGTTGTGATTAATCGAATCCATTCTAATGGATATTTCCTTGCTCCTGTTATTTTTTAAGGAACCATGCAACTAGCCAACTATGATTCAAACTTCCATCCCAAGTTTGTATGGAAAGGTGTTACGTTAATGAACTTTACATGACTATATATCAGGCTTATATCGTGTTTTGGGTTTTTTAACATCAGCAAACCAAAAAGCTATGTGCACAACACGAAAACGAGCATTGCATTTTGGAAGAACCAATGCAGGGATGCACGCGTAAGCGTAAAACCGCTTCATTTTTTATATCATGACTGACAATTACAAGAAAATATACTTTAACTACTTGGCCGGTACGCGTTTTTATATAAAGGCCAGCAGCATTATCAGAGCAAGGTATTTCTACAGCATCTCTCATAAATATGGCAGATGTAAGACCTACATGTTGAATTCAAGAAGTAATTAGGGAAAGATTTATGAAACAGAAAAAGGACAAGCAACAAACATACATTATTCAGAGTTAACAAAATATTCGACCTTGGTGCCATGACAGTTTGGTCATTTTCATGAATCCATATAAAGGGGAGAACCTCAACATCAATTTAAGTGTAAACTCTTTATACTGTGTTTACAAGTTACAGGAACTCCTAATATCTGAAATTCACTCTTTTTTACTACAAACTGGCTTCAAGGTTAGGTTGCATATATTTCTCTTCAGTTTTTCTCTGCTTGCAAACAGAATAAGTATGAATTTAATATTCTATTAATGTAGGCAAAAGATATGTTAAATGTAAGCAATTCTAGTTTCTAATTGACTAATTCTTCAAATGGCTTTCATAAATATGAGCTCATAGAGATATTATTTCATACATATTCTTGAAAGTGAAAGCCCAGTTTCAGTTGTAAACTAACATACGTAAATTGAGAAGTAAAATCAATTAGACAGTTAATTTGTAAGCTGAACATATAGAAGTCTGAACGGAAAAGACTTACAAGTCAAAAAATGAAACTGAGGAATTCTAGAAATTAGGTACCTGTCAGTGAACCATGATCAGTATGCCAACCACACCAAGATGACATTGACTCATCATCTTGGGAACAGCTACTGCAAAAAGTAACAAAAAATGAGTAAAAGAGACATCACATACAGGTATTTCCTTCTGAAAAAGAAAAGAGGAAAGTTAGGAAACTAATGAACTAGATTTTTTTTCGAGGAATTTAGAGGACCAGCTAAAAAGGAAGCACCACCCCGCAAGGTAAAAACAAAAGTGTAAATAATATGCTTCAGTGTAAAGAGTGAAACTTCGATTCTCCAATAAGCATCCACTTCTCTACTCATGTATGGTGATATGCAGTGTTAACATATCTCCTATTCTCCTATACTCTGATATTTATATGTTCTTTTTCTAGCAATTTTTATATCAACAGAGGGAAGCTGATACACCATTTGTCAGTTTCCGATATGCCAAAAAACACATAATAGGCATATCAGTAAATATTACAGATATTATGAAACATGAGAGGGATCAGTGTATTTTAATTTTTTTATTGAGATATCAGTTAGTATCCAATCTGATGCTAAGATTGGTTAGTGTTTAGCACAAGTTGGATGAAGTCCAAGATACATCAAGTACAAATATTTTGAAAACGTCCAAACATTTAGCAAACATGTTAACCGAAAAACAGCAACAATAATAATTGTAAGCAAAATGGAAATTACATTATAGAAATAATATCTTTGTGTGTTGTCAATAAACTTGTATTCCCTATCAAGTAATTTCCAAAAATATGGTATAACTTTCATACTTTTATTTAAATTTTTACTGATAACGATATCTATATACCGACAGTATTTGTTATTGTTTCCAAAAGACCAAAATTTCGAAATTTCAACCAATACCGATATTTTCAACCTTTTCAATGGGATAAAGAACAAAGGTTGCAATTCCAAATCCTTTTAGCAGAGTTTTTCCAATTAATAGTATGACTAGAACTTGTGTGAGATGATCTGAGTGCATAACTAGTGCAGAAAACCTTTCAAAAAAAACTAGTGCAGAAAAGACAGAACAAAACTCAAAATGGATTACCTTTGCTGGGAAGGAAAATAGTAGAGCAGTCTGCCTTTATGACATCTAGATCGAAGTAGTATTTTTTCAAGGCCACGATTTTCATTTGCTGTTATCTTGCAGGATACTGCACAAGTTTTCAGTTTACGTAAATGAAACACAAAAATCTGTTCCAAATGAAATAAGATTTGGCGCCTACGCCATACTGATATGTTATTAGCAGCCACTCAGCAATCATTGGCTTTACTTTTCATTGCAAAAAAAGTAAAAAATATGTCGAAAAGATAAAACAAACTTATAGAGCATTGAATAAAACGGACTATGGGAGACACCATTGTGTGCATGTAAATGGGAGCAGTGGATCATTCAAGGAAAGCCTGTTCAGGAGTTGCTCAAATACTTGCAACATGTATGAATATCTCTCTACTCTGAGCAATTGGAAATTTTAGTGTAAAAAAATGTATGTGCAAGTGCAACATGAAAACTAGGAAATGAGATCACTAAATATTTGCTAATAAATCTTAAATCCATTTTGAATAGAAAATCATTGAATCCACAGTGTACTGGCACAAAGAATTTATTAAGGATGTGTTTGGATTTGGGAATTTGAAGTTCCAACATTCTTCAATGGTAGTGCCATTAACTGGACCATAATGACAGCCCTACGAAAAATTAAATAGGGGCCCATCATCCAGTATTACCTTGGATCCTAGCAGCCATACTGCTATGCAAGTACTGGCCCATGATATCCATTAAATTCTTACAGTGTAAAACAGAGCCCCCATGTTTACACATACAGCTCATCACCAAGCAAGAGAAGGGAAAAAATGAAGGAGGCAAATGTTCTCATTAATCCACACAAAAAAAGGAAACATAAGTAATGTAAGCATTAAGAACTTACCGTATTGATCACAATGTTGAGCCAACAACAGCCCAACATCAAGAATCATCTTACCTAGCGCTTTAAAAGCTGCAAAGTGAAAATAAACATTTAGCAGCCACTACGTCTAACTGAAGCATATTGACCGGGAAAATTTTGGTAAGTTAGTAACTATGTATGGGATGGTGTGGCACTGGTACCGATACAAATAGTGCATCAAATTATCAAAACAATAAAAAACTCATAGAAGTAGCTAAGAGGTTGCCTAAAAAAGTTCTGAATACCTATTCCACAATGTTCAGGTTCAAAAATCAACAGCTTCGATACTAAGATTGTCAAACAAAAGGATTTTATGATGCATATGAAAATATAAGCTATTTAGGTCTTGATGTTCAACCAATAACATCAAAAGAAGTACAGTTATTGATTAAAGTCAATTATTAAGAAACTTTGTATTGTGAAATACACTACAAAAGTGCAATGCAACAACTCAAATGTTGAATTTATATTTAAAATATACCAATCTCAAGTTCTGGAAGAGTGGTATGAGGCCATATATTGGGTCTGCAATATGATGGATATCTAGACAGAGAAGAAGAAAATATTCAGGACAAGAAAAAAATTATAACATTTAGAAATATTAAACTATGGAATACATAACTGCAGCAACTCAATGATGACAAGTTAAGATTTTACAGATTTGTTTCATAGAAATTAATCAGAAAGCTGCTTAAGAGACTATAATATGGTGCATATGGATTTGCTGAAAGGTAAAGAAAAGGTGTTAACCGTTCCATAAGGGATGGTTCAGTTGTTGGCACATCGAATATTGGATTTGCATAGAAGGATCCTTTCAGTGTATCTGCATAGTAAACATGAACAAGCAGCAATACAGTTTAAAAGAGAATTTCACTGAAAAATAGTAGAACACCATGCATGATGTGTGTTAAGCAGGCAACACTGTAGCAAAGAGTAGTTTAGAGTGTTGAACATAACCTGAGATGCATATAAATTTAGATAAATCCTCCATAACACCATGCATGTGTGTAACAAATTAATAACATTATGAGTAAAAATTAAAATCATTACTTCCTGCAAGCCTGTTTAACTTTTCAAAAGTAGTTATATGACTACAGATAGAAACAACTATCAATATGCATTTAACTTCATAAGTTTCATTATAGAGGTGGCCAAATGCTCTCTATTTGTTGACATGTTAAGTCCTAGATCATTCAAATTCTAAGACAGCTGATTAGACTGGAGGTTCTTTTATCTCATCTCAAAATACTTAGGTGTGAAAAAATGTAACCTTCACATAATGATACAAGCAAATCATATCAAAATGCATTCTTTCATCTTCTTTCCCATCAATTACAATAAAAACCATTTCTACCTGGCTTTCCAGATTCAAGCTTCTCTTTTCCATGACTCCATCCAAAGTTGTACCTGATATTGGTCCCAAGCCCATAAAAATCCAAGACTAAAGGGTTCAATTAAGAAACTACAATCCTCAAGCAAAGAATGTGTGGGTCCCATTACAAGCAGCATGGTAGAAATTCAGCCTTTAGAGATGAAACCCAAAAGGAACCCATTCACTAACACTACTAAACAATGAACCGCAAAAAGGGGGAAATGAGAGAAGGTCATATGATAGGTTTTCTTGCCTACTATCGGGATCTTCCAGTTCCTCTTTCACGCTTTCAGGGAGGTTTGCTAATCTATAAAGAAAACAATTCTGAATTATCAACCTTTATACTGAATGAATGCATAACATATATCTTTACAGCATAGACCTACAGTCAAGAATATCTTTTCTTTTCTTAATTACCTATGTGAAAGAAGAAGTAGATTTTGGCGCAATAGAGTATACTCAGGAACCTACAAGCAATATCAAAAGCAATGAGGAAGCATAACACATATAAAAAGCTGATATTTTAATGATAATATATCTTCAATGATCTAGCATCCCGCCAAACTAGTATTGCAGCTTTCGATGTAAAGTACTTGACTAGAAAAGTAAGAAGCAAAATAATACTTTTAAAGTATAAAATAAAAGATTAACGGGTCTATCATGTGAGAGTTATTCCTTACGTCTGAAACTGATAGAATACCAAGGCCGTTCGGCCCAAATCCTTCTTCAATTTTAGCGGATAAGTCTGAATATTTGTCCTGATTCAATCAAATTATGAGGAATTCAACCATGAGCAAGCCTTCAAAAGTTCACAATCTAATAGCATAACGTATATCCGCAAAAATACATGCTCTGACGAATTCAAACTCCTAAACTCCCCAAAATTAAAAAACCACGCTTATTTATGACAAAAAGAAAGAAAATTCTTTATTGAAAACAATCAAGATCTGCTAGTTCTCTAGTAATCCGACATCTTGCAGAAAAAACTCACCTTGAGCTCGTTATAGGATATGGTAACCGTAGGAACCGTGCGCGACGGAACTTGAGAGGAGCATATGGAAATTGCCGCGGAAACTCGGTGAGGTATTACCCGGAACAGTTGCGGCGGCAAAAAGTGAGAAAACTGCGCGGGAAAATTAGTGCGCGGAAATTTATCAAGAGACGGCGGAGGAGGAGAGATCATAAGAGAACAGTCCATTTTTTCAGGTGTACTGTCCTCTTTTCGAATATTTCTTCGAACCAACTTGCGTATTTAGACGATTCTTCGTATCAATTTGTGGCAAGCTGTACACGTGGAGAGAAACGGGTACGGTGTGCAGCACCTGTAACGCAGAATGGGATACTCCTAAATATTTTGTCATCCAGTACGCTATTTGAAAATGTTTGACTACCTCAAATACTACTAACAGCATCTTTATTATGCCCCTCAAGTTTGGGAATAATCTTAATATAATCCTAGATTTTAAATTTGAAATCAATTTTTTTTATTCGAATAATCTCTTCAAATATCCTCAACTGTAATCTTAAAAAATATCATTGACATCATCGACCCCAAATAAACCATGTATGAAGATGCCCTAAGTACGTGTGGATTGTTGCACATAGCACTACATCAAAAGAAATTACTGATAGTGTAGCACACCCTACCCCTTTATAGAATAGGGAAATCGTCACGTTTTGATTGCACCGGCAGACTGCTGACACTGCATACTCATGGCTCAACAATTTCCCTCGAGCACCTACCATCTGCCTACAACTGACCAACATGATGTTGCCGGGGCCGAACCCGTAACCTTTGGCTATAATATGCTAATTTGGGTATTTTGGGAGGACTTGCAGTGTAAGATAATTAATATCAATGTGTATTATCATAAAACAGATTTTCAAATATAATGTTTCAAAAGTATTTGTAAGTTAATTAATTGACTTATTGTAAATAGAAGTCATAAAGAATGTGAATGGTAATTTTAAGCTAAAACTGATTATCTAAAGGCGGTCTGTTCCTACGGAATGTAGGGTTTTCTTCTGTTGAATCCTTTCGTGCTGCAATTTCCTTGGTTTTCATTCCAATTGTTTTGTTTAGGCTTTATTGTTAATTGATATAGTCAGGGTTGGTTGGTGTTGCACTGTTGTTTGATTACTTACACAAGGTCCCGAGTTTGAGCAAGAGGAGTACTACTAGGGTTTATTGCCTTTTGTGAGATTCTTGAGAATGCAGCCGCCTAGTGTGGTTGTGTAGTTTCGATCGGCACTCTTTCAACACAACCAGATTGCAAGCACGACTAGGTGCTTTCGATGGAGCGGGTTTTGCAGGTGGATAGAAGTAACGAGGAGATGACATCGACGAGCACAAGACAGATGGAAAAGTGGATCGGGAAGTGCCACGACTTGGAGATCGGGACTGAGGATGACAAACTGGTGCTCAATGAGGAGGATGCTCCAGACCATATGGAACAGATGCTTTCAGTGGATCGTCTCCCTCCTGAACCACCGCCATGGAGTGTAGGAGAGTCTAGGGCTTGGAAGAAGACGAGTGAACTATGTTTTAATTCTGTTTTATTTTGTTTGTGTTTTTATTTCGAACTACATGTTGTTTTGGGTGTGTTTTTATTTTCTACCAGAATAATTCTAGAATTTAAGTCAGGTAATGAGAAGCCTAGTTTGCATGTCACTGGCTCAATTGAGTCCATTATAGGATCAACGAATCTTATTGCTTCTACGGGTGTGATAGTTTCTAAGTTTGAATTGGTTCGAGGGAAGACGATAGACAGAAGACTTTTGTCGTTTTGTAACATGTTTAAGTTCTACTATGCATTATTTTAATATAAGCCACATTCTTCCAAAAAAATGTTGATCGCGCCAAAGTCTTCAAATCATAATCCACTGTAAATTAACTCATTATATCATTGTGAAGCGACAAGGTTTACAATGACCGTTAAAAAAGAAAAGAGGCAAAATGAGGTAACTGCTTAGAGTATTCAAACTTGCCAACAAGTCCATTTGAATACTCTGAATTAATACTTCTCGTAGTACTATAGTTTGCATGGGCATTTTATCTTCTAGTGAAACACGCAAATTGGCAAATGCAACTGAAAATAATAATATGATCTGCATTGTTTCATATTTCTTCCATCAAAATATCTCCACGACCTACTCCACCAAAGCAGATAAAACTGGTTTGGAGGAATTTAAAAAATAATCACTTTCCCTCCTTTTGTCCTCAACCAATCCATATATATCACTTCTTTGAGGTCTTTCATTTTCAATTTTATATTCCTAATTACTTAATTTATATCTAGTAGTGTTGTTGTCCCGGGGTCTTAACAAGTAGCAATGCATCACCCCTCCCCTCCAAATACATCTTCAATACCCACGTGTAAAATATTTTACTTGATATAAGTAATAGACTAGGGTTATTTATGTACTTTACACATTACTCTCTTATTATAAATATACCTGTCAGGACCCCTCTGAGGGTAACTTGTTCCATTATTCCACATGGTATCAAGAGCTACGGTTCAAACCTAATTTTTTTCTTCCGCTCGTTTTCCCATTGGGATCGTCGCACTCCTCAACGGCATATTTTTTTCTTCCGCTCATTTTCCCCTTGGGATCGCCGCACTCCTCAGTTGCATGACCACCACAGCCGCCACCATGGAGTCTTCTTCTTTGATGAGTGCTGGCCCCACCGTCCCGATTTCTTCTTCGCTGACTGGCGCCCCAGATATCTTGGGTGTGCAGCCATCCGTCATCCTGCCTGGTACCGCCTCCCTTGCTCATTGGGCTGATTTGGCCCAATCGCTGTCTCATGTGGCTACCAACGTCACCAATGTTGTGACCACAAAATTGTAGCCGGATGAGGATTACAGTACGTGGCGCACTCAGTTCGAGTCCTTTCTTGTCTCTCAAGGTCTTCTGGGAATGGTGGATGTCTCAATTCAGGTACCTTCTGTTTATTCTATAGACATATACAATCGTCAAATCCCTAATCCCGAGTATTCATCATGGCTACGTATTGATCAAACTATTCGCTCGTAGTTATTTGCAACTTTGTCCCGTGATGTCCTTATTGATGTCCGTGATTTGAAACATTCTTTTGGGATTTGGGAACGATTGGAGTCCAGATTTATGTCTGCCAGCTTGGCTAGGTCTATGGATGATAGAGTATATCTAGAGAGAAGTGAGAGCTTAAGAGAGAAGTGCAATAATATGCTTCAATAGAATGATTTTGTGAACTTTAAAACTACTCCCAAGGGGAGTATTTATAGAGAAAATTAGGGCTGGGCTCCCAAGTCTTGGGCTTGGGAGGCCCATTTACAACAGGGCCACTAATGGGCCGGATACAAAGTGTATAGAAATAATAAGTATAAAATCCTGTTCTAGAGGCTATTTGTGGATGACGAGGGCATGGCCGATGAGGGCATGGCCGATGAGGGCATGGCCGATGAGGTCACCCGGTTCTCCGGGCTTCTGGATCATATTCTGGGTGGTCTTCTTTCTGGCCGATGAGAGCATGGCCGATGAGAGCATGGCCGATGAGAGCATGGCCGATGAGGGCACCCGGTTCTCCGGGCTTCTGGATCATATTCTGAGTAGATCTTTTCCTGGCCGATGAGGGCATGGCCGATGAGAGCATGGCCGATGAGGGCACCCGGTTCTCCGGGCTTCTGGATCATATTCTGAGTAGACCTTTTCCTGGCCAATGAGGGCATGTCCGATGAGAGCATGGCCGATGAGGGCACCTGGTTCTTCGGGCTTCTGGATCACATTCTGGATAGATCTTTTCCCGGCCGATGAGGGCATGGCCGATGAGAGCATGACCGATGAGGGCACCCGGTTCTCCGGGCTTCTGGATCACATTCTGGATAGATCTTTTCCTGGCCGATGAGGGCATGGCCGACGAGGTCACCCAGTGATCATGGTACCTTCTGTTCTTCTGAGTATGTGGGTCCTGGGGCCTAGACCCATATACTCCATCAGGAGTCCCCCACTCTCTAAGCTGAGATGTAGATGAAGTGAAGGAGAGTAGATTTCTGTGCTTGATGCTCTTGGCCGATGCGGGACCACGTTGGCCGTTCCCTGTCGTGGCGTTTGGTGGCCCTGTTCTGAGTTTGGCCGTTACCCGTTCCTTGATGTGGACGAGGAAGGTTGTTACTCCTTTGATGCGCTTGTTTGCGGACGATGAGTGTTCCGGCATTAGTGGCCGACGAAGGTAGTGTCTATCCTTGGTCGTTGATGGTTTGAACTTCCCTTTCGGGCTGGTGAGGCCATTGTAGTTATCTCTTGTTTGAGGACGATGGGTGTCCTTTGTTTTGAGGACGATGAGTGTCCTTCACCTTGAGGACGATGAGCGCCCTTCGTTTCGAGGACGACGGATGTCCTTCAACTTGAGGACGATGGGTGTCCTTCCCTTTGAGGACGATGAGCGTCCTTCACTTTGAGGACGACGAGCGCCCTTCGTTTCAAGGACGACGAATGTCCTCCATCTTGAGGACGACGAGTGTCCTTGGTTTGGAGGATGATATGCGTCCTGCCTTGCACTCTGGCCGAAGGTGGACGTTTGTGGTGTTCTTGTCATTGTCTTGAAGACGATGTGTGCCATTGGCCTTGAGGAGTGTCCTTGGCTCCAAGGATGATGTGCCCTTAATCCTGAGGACGATGTGTGTCCTGCTTTGCGCTTCGGCCTGGCCGAAGGGTGAACACATGGTTGTTGGACGTTGAGGTGCCATTGTCATGGGCTTGTGTTCGTTGGATTTTGAATTTGTTTCTTTACGCTGGAGGCCGATGTAGTCCCCCAGACCTTCTTCTGACCGATGAAGACATGGCCGACGGATGTACCACTTGGTAGTCCTTGCTTTTTGTTGCTTTCTGGATGATTTCATGTATGTGGAGGCCGATGTAGTCCCCCAGTCCCCCACTCCTCGAGGCTCATGTAGTGAGGTGAAGAGGAGTAGAGCAATACACATCTTCAATAGGGGGCCGAGGGTCGACACCTTTTTATCCACGATGGGGCGATGCCTCGTTAAAAACCTCATTAGGAAAAACCCTGTGGGAAAAAATCCTAATGAGGGAAAAAGAGCACACCGGATCCCCCAGAATGAACTCCAAGGGGTGAACCCTTCGGCCTAGGTGTGGAGCTGAAGCGGTGTCCGTATGATGAGGGGACGCCCGCTTGGAGGTGAGGACGACGGCGCTGATGAGCCGGTCTGAATATGAGGACGAGGC